TTTTTTTTTTTTCTTTTCTTTTCTTTTCTTCCTTTTCTTTCTTCTTCTTCGTTGAGTTGAGCACAGAAGCGAGAGAGAGAGAGAGAGAACACAGAGGCGAGAGAGAGAACGCAGGTCATCGTCGGCGTCATAGCTCGGCGGCCGATCGTCGCTCGTTGGCCGATCTTCGCTCGTTGGCCGATCTTCGCATCGCCGCCTCCGCCTCCGCCTCTGCCTCCGCCCACCTCTGCTCTGCCCCCGCCCGCCTCTGCCGCCTCTGCCTCCGCCCGATTTTAATGGCCCCTCCAGTTCCTCTTCACCTCCTTCTTCATCCTCCTCCTCTTCTTCTTCTTCTTCTTCTTCTTCTTCTTCCTCCTTCCTTCTCAAATTCGAGCCATTCGAGCCTTTGCCCTTTTCGGGCTCTCTACCGGGACTGCTAATAAAACTGCTAAAACAGCTAATAAATTATAAACCATCATTTAAAATCACTAAGTTTGTCCTTTGTTTTTTTCTTCTGCTTAAATTTATTTGTCCTTTTATGATTGATCCTTAATCAATAATCATTCATGCAGCTGAGAAAAGAAAAATAAATGTCGCAGTTCAAGATTATTGATACCTTGAATAGCTCTCTTTACTCTTGTTTCCTTAATTCAATCATATACAGTATAACACTTGTTGAAGATTGCTTCTGGTATCCCCACAATGTCTCCATCAAATCTGGTTGACTGTCATCAGAGATATAACCAATTTGCTACTTCACAATAAAGTTTATTCACCAGCTTCAGGACCAAATCTTTGCACCAATAATTCATCAAGTTGCCCCCAATTTGGGGTACCAAATCTCATATCATCACAAGGCAACGATCGAATGCATGCAAGAATGTGTTGAACATCCCGATGGAGCCTGGCAGACACAATCAGATAGAAAATAAATAAGAACAAAAGAAAAATGAGTCCACAGAAACAAACAGAAGGTTTCAAAAAAAATTATGGCAAATTAAAAAGGTTATACCTGTTTCTTGCTTCTGGAGTGCTAATATCTAAGCGGGAAAATGCTTCAGAAATTTGTGAGTGGAAGATTATAACAACTTGCCTACAAGTAGCACAGCATGGAGGTCATTATGTAGAAACAAATGGAAACATAAAGCATGGACTCTTTTTAATAATCTAAAAAAGAACGATAACATTAAGAGGGAGAAGTGAGGTTCTTGAAGTTAAGCTTAATCTTATAAGAGAACTCTCAAAGAGGTGGGACAGCTTTAGAATAAAACAAGAAATTATCCTTCATAAACTGAATGCAATTAGCAGACCTAATAAGCAAGCAAAGAAACAGTTTGGGTCTGATACTACTTCAAACTGACGAGTTCACAAATTCTTTAACTGCATATTTAAATAACTGTTTGGGGATGTTCTGTAATAAAAGAATTTAAAATAAGTAGGACAAAACTAAATAAATTGGATGTATCTTTATTAAAAGCCGAAATACGAATGAGGGGGGTAGTTAGTATTGAAGCCAAGAAATCCCCAAGAGTACACAATTTCAATACCTAGGCTCAATTAGTCACAAAGAGGGAGACATTGGTGATGATTTTACTCAAGGACAGCTACCAGACCAAACATTTGTGCCTTCCATCAAAATCCCAAGTCAATATTTTCAAATTAAACAGATATAAGGCCAGAATAGTCCTGTTAGATACATTTTTCCATATCATTGATCACTTCTCCAATTCCCTTTCTTCTTTTTTTTTTCTCCATGTTTCTTTCTCTTTTTCCACTTCCTTGTTTCATTCCCATTACTTTTTCTCTCCCATCAAAATCTGCCTCTCTTCTCTTAAAACAAAATATATTTTCTACATAAATACATGAGAGCTACATCACATGCATCACATGTGCACCACTTCTAGTTTCTACAAAAACCAAAGCAGCCCAGCTCATTTATGTCTCCTATTACTAATGAAAAACTCTAATTGAACTACAATGCAAATGCCAAGACTTGGGCCCACTTTTCCAGCACTTGAAAGACAATACATGCATCAAACAAAGGTCAAAATCAATGTAAGTAATTCCCACAGATTTCTCCAGCACACAGAAAATACGCATCTTACAAAGTCAAGGTCAAATTGTACCTCAAGATCATGGCGCCAAGCTTGATAATTGGCAATTTCAAAAAACATAACTGGTGGTAATCCAAAAAATAATATATATATATATATATATATAATTTGCTTAGGACACAGCAATCCCCTGTTTCCTAATCTAAGTTAAGAAAGTTACCAAAATGATAGGCTTAGGTAAATGTCTTCTACCGTGCATGCAGTAGCTTCTTACAAATATAGACAACCTCAATCTCCCTAAACCACAAAGTCAATGTTTTATATATCCCTAACTAGACTTCGTAAAGCTTAAGTTAGGTGCCCCAACCATCTGTTTTTGTCAATACTAATTAGTGAGAAAACTTGACTTGGAGACACTTTCGAAACTTTGCAACCACAACATAACGAAGTGACCCTCCACTTTGTGGTTCAATATAGTTTAAATTTTCAAACACAACCAAGATGTGATAATTGGCAATTTCCTTCTAGTAGATTAGTCCTCAATTTTTTATTTTTTATTTTTTATTTTTAAATAATACCAAGTGTCATTCCACATGTTTGGATTTTCAAAGATACCATATCGTTATAAATGGAGTAACCTCATTGTCAGTGGCATACCGCCACTGGATTACTAAAATAACCGTACACATAAACCTAACACGTGAAGGGCTGCCAAGAACTCAAAAAGACACAAAACCCCGACTGCAAAAAACAAAATTTTCCTAAAATATATTAACCAATAGAAGTAAAATTAGCAAACTCTATGACTCATCTAGCGCCGGCATTGCAACATGTTAAGTGGACCACTATATCAGCTATCAACGTAACCAATGACGAATGTCGGCAACACAATCATAAATCAATACGTCAACTACATTGTTCTATACATAAAACAGAAAATCCAAGGGCATACTACGAAACCAGTAACGCCACGACAAAATCGTTACCTTAACTACGGATGCCACAAACCGACACACATTATCCAAAAATTCCAACTATTTCAACGACATAACCGCGTATAGTAGCCACACACCATAGACCATACTGTTCCCTGCATACTTTAAAAATAAATTCATGCCAAGCTTAGAAACATAAAAGCCCTAATCACATAATTATCATAGATTCAGTTTCATTATTAACAAATAAGGTTTTAGAGCACAGTCCCTAATCAATTCAAGACATCAAATTGCATACAATCACCAAGAAGCCTTAAATCAAAAACCCTAAATTAATTCGCATAACAGATACACAAACACATATGCATATATAAATAAAGTCATTAATAAACAATTCGATAAATGAAAAACCAAATTTCAAAACCGTTCTCACCTGACGTCACCGCCACTTTTGACCAGCTGTGCTGTCGCGACCGGAGAACCGTCCTTTCCCTCCCAAATGAACTTGGACCAAAGTCTCCGACCAATCGAAAATGCCGTGAAGGCAAGCCAGAACCTCCAAGCCCCCGGCGGCGAGGTCCAGGCAAACCAGAGCTTGGAGCGGAGACCGAGATAAAGCAAACCGGTCCATCTAGGGCGCCAGGACCAGCCAATAACAAAGCCGATCATGACAACAAGCCAAATCGGGACCGAGGAGAGCAAAATGTCGAGAAATGTCTCGCCGAGGCCTAGGCAGTGTAGAAAATAGATCAAATCGAAGAAGCTTTGCTCCATTATCGATCGGTGTCTATACAGATACATGTATGTACATGAGAGAATCGATAAATATACATATATGTATATGTATATACAAAGTGGAAGAGATAAGGAGATGAGGTGCTAAGCCATGGAAGCTTGCATAGATGGTGGTGGCGATGGAGCTTTGAAATTGAGAGAGAGAGACATCAAAATCGCTCTGAGATGAAATCAAAGATGAATCTCTGAGAGAGAGAGAGAGAGAGTCTAGAGAGAGAATCGAAATCGGGGTGGCAGTGCAGACCGATCTGAATCGAAATCGCGGTGGCGGTGCAGATCGATCTGAAATCAGTGAATTGGTGAATCTCACTGCCTCGCCGGTGTAGATGGTGGTGGGGGTGGAGCTTCGAAATCGGTGAATCTGTGAGATTTGAATGTGATTCAAAATAAGGGTTTAGAGAGGATTGAGAGAGAGTGAGGCGACGTGAGGATTCAATGTTTATGTCTGAAGACCTGAGGGGTTACACAGGCTTTATGCCCAGATTCAAAATAGGCGCGTGTGACGTATCGCGTTTGGAGGCGCTTTTACACGCCTTTGATCATAAAACGGTGTAGTTTTAATTAAATAAATATGCGATGTCGCTAAATATTAATAAAAATGACGTTTAAGAAAACGCCGTTAAAAAAACGTCGCAAAAACCCTTATTTCTTGTGGTGGCACTGAGTCATAACTAATATCACAATATGTATAACCATCTCATAATCAAGTCTTAACTAACACCTCTGCAGGTCATAATCAAAGTTGTAACTATTCCCTTTTGAAAAACATATTTGTCAAAAAAAAAATAAAAAAATAAAAAAGAAACAAAAAAAAAAATTACGATTATCAATAAATTTAATTTCTTTTATGAGTAATATATGAAAAAACACTTTATAAAATTAACTATTCAAATAATCAAAATCAAACTGCTCGCCGTAACACAGACGGTCAAGTTTTGTCTCTTTAGCCATTGACAAAACTTGACTCTGGTTCAACTGATCACATTATAAAACCAACCAGCAGCTTCAAGTTATGAAATACCGACCACCAGCACATCCCAAGGCACGTTCCACCCAAAAAAACCCGCGAAACCCACCTCTAAAATGTCCAAAATAGCCCCAACAACATCTTTCCAAATCCTTCTCTCCATATTCGCCCTCCCACTCCTCATCCTGCCCTTGCATGGAAACTCCCAATCTACTGATTCAGAACAAACAATCCTACTCAGACTCAAACGACACTGGTCCAATCCACCCTCCATCAGCCACTGGACACCATCACAACCAAACTCCAACTCCTCCACCCACTGTAATTGGCCTGAGATCACCTGCTCCAATGGCTCCGTCACCGGACTTTCCCTCATCGACAAAACCATCAACAGGTCAATCCCACCGTTCATTTGTGACCTCAAAAACCTCACCGCCATTGATCTCCAGTACAATTACATCCCCGGACCCTTCCCTACGGCTCTCTACAACTGTACCAAGCTTGAACATTTAGACCTCTCCCAAAACTTGTTCGTGGGCTGCATTCCAGGCGATGTTGACCGGTTGTCGACTCATCTCCGGACCTTCAACCTCAGCGGCAACAACTTCACCTGCGATATCCCAGCAGCCATCGGGCGGTTCCCCGAGCTCACAACCCTTCGGCTTTTTCTAAATTTGTTGAACGGCTCTTTCCCGCCAGAAATTGGCAACCTGTCAAGGCTAGAATGGCTGGAGCTGTCGGACAATGAATTTGCGCTGATGGCGATACCATCCACCTTTACCCAGTTGAGGAAACTTAAACAACTATTGATCAAAGGTTCAAGTTTGATCGGTGAAATCCCGGAAACAATTGGGAATTTAGCAGAGCTCGAGGAATTGGACTTGTCAAACAATAACTTGACTGGTACAATTCCGAGTGGTTTGCTTCTGCTGAAGAATTTAACAATAGTATATCTCTACAAAAATCACTTGTCCGGGCCAATTCCTCAGCCCATTGAAGCTTTGAAGATGGAGGAATTCGATTTATCCGAAAACAACTTGACGGGAACAATTCCGGATGATTTTGGTACACTAACAGAGTTGTCAGTTTTGTCTCTATTTTCCAACCAACTCTCGGGGGAGATACCGGAAAGCATTAGTCGCCTTCCATCACTGAGATATTTAACATTGTCCAGCAACAATCTCTCTGGAACATTGCCACCGGACTTGGGGCAATATTCCATTCTTCAGGGGTTTGAAGTCGCCCAGAACCATTTCACCGGTAAGGTGCCGGAGCACTTGTGCGCTAATGGTGGACTAATAGGAATTGTGGCATATGATAACAATTTGAGTGGTGAATTGCCTAACTCACTTGGCAATTGTTCGAGTTTGTTGATTGTTTGGGTTAATGGTAATCGCCTTTCTGGCAGTATTTCAGCTGGTCTCTGGACATCAACCGATCTGACATTGTTGATGCTTAGCGATAACTCCTTTACCGGTCAGCTTCCAAGAACACTTGCACCAAGTTTAGTACGACTAGAGATCAGTAATAACAGGTTTTCTGGTGAAATCTCAATTGGGTTGTCTTCTTGGAAGCATTTAACAGTGTTCAGTGCAAGTAACAACCTCTTTGTTGGTACAATTCCCCAAGAATTGACAACACTTTCTCAATTGACAACTCTGCTGCTCGATGGGAATCTACTTTCCGGTCATCTTCCATCAGATATTGTCTCATGGATGTCGCTGACCACTCTGAATCTCAGTCGAAACCAACTCTCGGGTTCAATTCCTGCCAAACTTGGTTCTTTACTAAGCCTCACCGACTTGGACTTGTCAAGGAATGAGTTCTCAGGTCAAATTCCAACTCAGATTGGCCTTTTAAGGCTACGTTCCCTCAATTTGTCTTCCAACTGTCTCACTGGAACAATCCCAGATGGGTTTGAAAGTACTCTTTTCAATGCCAGCTTCTTGAACAACACCGGTCTTTGTGCATGCAATCCATCACTGGGCCTTGAGATCTGCTCTTCTAGATTTGAAAACTCGAGCAAAATATTCTCCAGGCTTCTCGCTATAATCATAGGTATAGATACAGTCTTACTTGCATCAGCTATGCTATTCACATTCTTCCTAATTAAAACTTGCAGGAAAAAGGGCCCCGAATCGGATTCCAAGTGGGAGCTCACTTACTATCAGAAATTGAATTTGAGTTTCAAAGAGTCAGACATTTTGTCAAATTTGACTGAAAATAATGTGATCGGAAGTGGTGGATCGGGAAAAGTATATCGTGTTGAGTTGAACTGTTCAAGTGAAATTGTAGCAGTTAAGAGGATTCAGAATATCAAGAAGTTGGATCAAAAGCTCGAGAAGCAATTCCTAGCAGAAGTTGAGATATTGGGCACAATTCGCCATTCCAACATAGTGAATTTGTTGAGTTGCATTTCTAGTGAGACTACAAAACTTATTGTTTATGAGTACATGGGAAACCACAGCTTGTATAGTTGGCTCCATGAAAAAAAGAGGCAAAGCATATCGGATTCAGACCACGGTCTTGTCTTGGATTGGCCTAAGCGGTTGAAAATTGCCGTGGGAGCTGCGCAAGGGCTGTGCTACATGCACCATGATTGCAAACCTTCAGTAATTCACCGAGATGTGAAATCGAGCAATATTCTGTTGGATTCTCAGTTCAATGCAAAAGTTGCAGATTTCGGCCTGGCCAAGATATTGGTAGAGCATGGAATGCCTAATACGATGTCAACTGTGGTTGGCTCTTTTGGGTACATTGCTCCAGGTAGTTAACATATAAATTGATTTATTCTTAACTTATTTTCATCTTAAATGAATTATTTTTAAAAAATTAAAGTTAATTTATTTTTAAAATGGTTTATTTTTGTCATTAATAACTTTTTTCAAATAACTAAAAAAATAAACCTTTTAGTTGCAAATTGCGGTCGGAGCTGGCGGGGGCTAAGTTCAGAAATTTTAAAATGTAAAAGTTGTTTTGAAATCGGTTTACTAATGACGAAAATATGTTAAATCTTGTCCAAAAAAAAAAAAAAACTGAAAAGGTTTGCTTTTTCTTTAAATAGATGTTTGGAAAATTTTCAAAATTTTAAAGATTGTCTAGTTGAGATGGACGGAAATTTTTCTAAGAAAATATTAAAAAGAAAAACTTCAGAGTTTGATCATTGTAACAAAAAATGCCTTGAATTTTTAATTTTATCAATTTAAACAATAATCTTTTGATTTATTGTCAATGTAAACGATCAACCAATTTCCGTTAAGCAAAACCTATGGTAATTTGTATTTTAGTCATTAAATTTAATGTAGGTGTATTTAAAATATCTAAAATATATTTTTTTTCATTGAGTTTAATGACTAAAATACTTATTTTTTTCTTCATCAATTTTCCTTAACAATCAAAAGATTATGATTTAAATTGACAAAATTAAAAACTTGGTTTATTTTGTTACAAAAGTCAAGCTCTGAATTTTTTTTTCCCCAAAAATTTAAAATATTGGTTCCAAATCACAGTAAGAGTTACCTAGGAGCTAAGTTAAAAATTAAGAAAATGTCGAATTTTTTTTGAAACAATCTACTATAGAAGAAAATAAGTTAAATTTTGTTGAAAAACTCCTAAAAAGTTTAATTTTGTCTTTAATAAGATTTTTTTTTTAAATTTAATTTTTTTTGATTTGTCTAGTCTAGATTGACGTAAAAAGTATTTAAAAAAAAATTATCTCAAAGTCGTAAAAAGTTCACTAAAAATAAAAAAATATAAGACAAAAATAAGTCAACTAAGCGGTAACTAAAAGAATCCTAAAATTTATTTTACATTAATTTTTTTTGGCATTCATATTTTAAATTATATATGACTTTCAGAGTATGCTAGGACAAGCAGAGTGAATGAGAAGATTGATGTCTATAGCTTCGGTGTTGTCCTTCTAGAACTAGTTACTGGTAAGAAAGCCAATGATGAAAATGAAGATATGTGCCTTGCCGATTGGGCATTTCAATGTTACAATAAAAAACGAAACCACATAGTTGATGCCCTAGATGAGAAGATTAAAGAACTTCATTACTTAGATGAAATGGCTTGTGTTTTCGAGCTTGGGATCATTTGCACTGGCCCACTTCCCTCAAATAGGCCTAGCTTGAGGCAGGTTTTACAAATCTTGCTCAATTGTAGCCATCAATCGGCAAGAACTGTTCAGCCAGTCAGCAATCCAGTAACAAACAACCCCGAAGAAGACCTAGTGATAAACAACAACCTTGAAGAAAATTATGAGCAAAGTGCAGATGAACATGAGGTTTCAATCGTAGAGATCTCATAGCAGATAGAATCTATTGCAACCAACAAACCAAAAAGAGTCATCAAACAACATGGATGGCTTGCTGATATGGTAACCTATGTCCTTCCAGTCATTTAAAGTGGAATTTTGTGTACTTTCAGAGAAGTTGTGCATGATGTTGAAAGTGATTAGTGGAAGGAGGCTATGAATGACAAGATCAAGTCACTCCATAAGAACCAGACTTGGGAGTTGGTGCAACTTCCAAAGGAAAAGAAAGCAATTGGTTGCAAACGGGTTTACACAACGAAATAAGGTATTACAGGGAAGGACAACATCAGGTTCAAAGCTAGACTGGTGGCTAAAGGCTATGCCTAGAAAGAAGGAATAGTGTAGACACCCTATTTTGACTGCCCTTAAGACTTGGGCACCTCACGTTGAACACTCGATGATGAAATGTTAAGCTTTGCAATCGTTTGATTTCTTCAGCAAAAGGCCTTGAATTTGAGTTTCAAAACTAAGCCTTACACCCCCTTTGGACCAAAACTTTTTTTTTTTTTTTTTTTTTTCTAGCCTAACCACTTAGAGAAGAGCTGGCCAGCAAGTGGATGGCATGCCATTTTTGATTGGCCGGTCGTCCCCCTTCATGGTCGGCCAGCCATGTTTAGCGACAGCAGATGTTTTGAGATAGCCAGCTGTCCCTATGCCCATGCCTTGCACCAGCTATCTCATTACAAATATTTCCGACGTAAGAAGGCTTTTTTCTATAAATACATGACCTCCCCTCATGGTTTGGGGTTAAAAAATTTTGCCAAAAGCCATAACTTGTCAAACACTCTTTTCCAAAAGCCATGTTTAGTGATAGCAGATATTTTGAGACAGCTAGTTGTCCCCATGCCCATGCCTTGCACCAGCAGTCTCATTACATATATTTTCCAACGTAAGATGGTGTTTTTCTATAATGGCTTGTTAACTAGGAAGTTCTCCATCTCTTTAAAGGGGTAAACTTTCAACTCTCTAACCATCTTTTCTCCATCTTTTCTTGGTGTTTACTTACTAATTTCAGAGCCATTTTAAGCCAAAAAATGTGATTTAAATTCACAAAAAGAGGAGGGGTTAGCCACCCTTCGTTAGGCCCTATTGCATAGTTTGTTGCTTTGCCTTCTTTTTACTTTGTTTCTTTTGGTTTTGGCCATTGTTTTTGGAGTTGAAGGGGCTGTTTTAAGTGTTTATTTAATTTTTGCTTTGAATATTATTCATGTGTTATTGTAAGTCCTCATGGATTTGGTGTATAGGCCATTGTTTTTGGAGTTGAAGGGGCTGTTTTAAGTGTTTATTTAATTTTTGCTTTGAATATTATTCATGTGTTATTGTAAGTCCTCATGGATTTGGTGTATAGGCCATAACTTCTAATCTATTTGAGTTGATAGTCTTTTCTTTCATTTTTATGGCTTTCATATACATATTCACACCATTGTAATCATCCTTCTATCTCTGCAACCTCCCTCCATTCTTTGTTTATTTTGATTAAAGAGTTGAATAAAACAAAAGATCACTTCTTAAGACATAAGAAAGAGACTCTTCATGCTAAATTGTTTAATCTCTTCGAAGGTTCATTATCAGGGCATTATATCTCTCTTATGCTAAGCATGATCTCGCGTTTGATACTTCTCTTTATCGCCGGTGCATTACTTCTAAGGGACTAACTTTCTAGTTAGACCCTTGGAAATCACAAAGGAAAGTGTCATTATAGTTCATTATCAAGTTGGATTTGGAGTCATTATTGTTCATTTTCGGTTTGATTAGTCATTATCGCTCTCCTTGAGTTTCACTAGTCATTATCACTCATTTTGGGTTTGACTTAGAATTCATTATCGCTTGCAAAAGAGTTTGATTCTTCCTTTATAATTTCCCCATAGAAAAAGGCTCGAAAAGCTTATTTATTGCTTTGGATTTCATCTCTTTATTGCTTTGGATTTCACCTCTTTATTACGTCCATTAAATCCACTAATCATCACCATTGGACAAAAATGAAGAAATGATAAGAAATGGAAAGGTAATGTAAAAAAGACTAATAAAAAAGAGGTGAAAAAGGTATAAAATTTGGTTAGGTTCGGTCGGACGTTATACCGAACCTATTGCGTCTTGAATCATCACATACTATTGTTGTGATATTTGGTGATTCATGAGGCAAGTCTACCCCTTCTCTTGATGTAACTCCATGATAGAGAGAATGTTTTGTTTGTCTTTTATTTCATTTATTGAGCTCTTGTCCCATCTTTCTAAAGTTATCATGCAACAAATTTGTACTGATTGATCATTTGAGAATCGAATTTGCTTCTCCCTTGATCATTTTCATGATAGGAAAGGGCAGAGAGGATAAACATTTTCTACAAACATTATGTTTTTGCTCTTTTTTCAGCTATGTTGTAGCAAGGTATTTCCCGAAAGCAGTGGCTGGCTAACCATCATTCTATGCGGCCGACCACTTCTTAAGGCCGACCAGCCATCAATTTTGTACAGGCAGTGACATTTTTACAGCAGAACAGAGCAAAACCTGAGGCCAAAACAAAATAATTTTTTGACTGCAAACAGAGCAGATTCTGGCAACAAACTGAGAGGTTTCCGGGAGGATGTTCTCGGTTGTGTGCATATGGCTCCTCACCTCCCGTTTAAGTATATTAAATTGCTTTAATATTAGTATGTAATTACTTGCTTTACTTTTATTTGGACTTGTGATAGATAATTAATTAGTCTAGTTTATTCATTTGAGGTTGTAGCAATTAATTTAATTAGGACATTCATTCGGACCCTCTTGTGCGAAGGCAAACTTGTAATATTTATATGTCTTCCAACCCCCATTTCTTTCTCTCTTTTATTTATATGCTTATTATGGAAACATCATTTTATTTTTGTTTCATATCATTGGCATGCTTAATATACATTTTTTGCATGCATTGGGTTCGATTCGTCATTCTGACATTGTTTTCATTTCCTACTTACTTGAATACGTGCGTTGCCGCATGCTTTGAGTTGATCATATGACATGTTAAAATAAACCAAACCTAGTAGTTGTATTTTGTATTTGTTGCAATTGTAACTTGCATATTAAAACATGCATTTTTCTAATTATTTTCTTCTCTTTGGCTTGCCTCGGTGGAGTACTAGGCGAGCATTTGTTGCTTTAGCATGTTGCATGTGTTCTTGTGTTGCCATATCAAACATATTACCATGAGGCTAAGTACTTATTTGATATACCTCTTTGAATGCCTGTGGATGAAAACTATTTCGCTTAAGTTGGAATGACTTTGATTATTGTACATGTGAGCTCACTTTTTCAAGTAGCACACGTTTAAACCTGTTTTCAAACAAACATGAAATCAAAGCATTCCAAAATAAGTGACGTAATCTATACTTGTGTGCCTCACCTAGTAAGTCAGCATAATAATCAGAACATGAGCATATGCTGTCTATAAAAATTACATCCTGATTAGTAGGGGCCGATCTTTGGTCGGGTGAGTGGGATGCTCAATCCACGACCTTCCCCTCTTATACCTAAGTTCCCAAGCCAAGATACTTTGGTTATGATGAACAAGCGGCCTTTGGCACGAGTCACGGGTTTCCTAAATTTCTCAAAAATATTTAGGTGGCAACTCTAAAATCTGGCAATGCAGTCCATTTTTGGCATCTCTGATGATAAATGAATTTTCTAAGATTTGTCGGACTTGGACTCTTATTTGTGTTTTTCTGTTTCACATTATACTTGTAAAACCAGATTTAGAACCATGGGAGTCCGAACTGTAGGGCTATTTTATCCAAGGAGACTAAACCCTTCCGAGGAGCAGAAAAAACTAGCTATAGTTTCTGTTGACTTTGCTGGGGAGATTAAAGAAATTGACTTGGACTTCATGATGAGACATTTAATTTACAAATATATGTTCATTGCATTGCATTTGCATTGGTGCTCTTAAGTCATTGTATTTTCCATCTGCTATTCCTAGACGGCTTGCCGGAGGCTTGCCTAAAGAGCTTGTCAAAAGTCTGGCCGGTTGTGGGCTCAGCCATGTTGGAAACACAACCCTCGAATATGGATTATTGCTGTATCGCCTGATCCTCCTTTCACTTCTCGGTGTTAGGTGTGAAAGGTATATTAGATAATCTTGCCAACACACCCATTTGACCAATCAGCCTAGTGCATATAGTAAAGCCATAGTGACTGTTCTAACATAGGACAGGATGTTCACCTGTAAGCAGGATTTTGTAAACCTATTTGCTTAAAGTAGTGAAACCCTAGATCATGCCGAAGCTAGGATAGGGTAACCCTACCCCTCTTCATAGGGTTGTTTTTGCTTTCTTTACCTGGTATGTGCTTTACAGTGAAACTGTACAGGGGTGCTTCATATCAGTGGTACAGTTGATATTAGTTTATGGGGTAGAATTCAGTGGGGAGTACAGTTCTACAACTTTGATCACATCTCTTCTGATGAAATTTGTGTTGAGGTGCTGCCTGTTTTCTGATTGTTGTTTTTTCTTTTTCTTTTTTTTTTTCTTTTGCTAGGAGTCTAAAACCATAGCTTCAAAAAGTTCTGATATCCCCCAAGTACTCTGGACCCGTGTCGAAAGACTTTGTAAGGTTGGAGGTCTTGTTTGGGGACAGCTAGTGTTTGCCTCACTCTCACTAGTTGCAAGATGAAGAAGGGTCAGATAGAGTTCACCAGTTCAGTTATTTCAGTAATCACCCCTCAGCTCACCTATACTCAGTTCACCCCAAGCAGAGTCATTTACTTCCACAATGGCACAGTATCCCTCATCAGACTTGGAGGACTTAATAATTCGTCTTCAGCAATCCGTCGACTCAGTTCAGCACGATATGGCCTATCAAGCTGAGGTCACGAATAGATTACAATAAAAACAACAGTAGCCAGGTGCTGCTTATGTTGCTACTGCTCAGGATCCACAAGCCAAGGGTGTGATAACCCTGTTCCATATTATGCTAATTGGTCCTTATTATAAATGTGATTATGTGTTTGATGTGATTCTGTGTGCCATTATGTGAAAATACGTGGTTTTGAATTTCTATCTATTCACCGTAGGAATATCTGTTTGATTATCTGCTTTGGAATTTAAATTGAAGGTCTTATTGGCCATAGAAACCAAAATTAACTGCGCCGTTGTGATTGGCGTAATTTTTAGAGCCTACAATGAAATTTAATTGAAAATTGATTTAGATCAAATTAATCCGATTGAATTTGATGAATTAGTGCTCAATTATTTTATAATAAAATAATGTGACCAAGGGAGCTCTTATTAAGGCCATTACACTCTCATCTTTGTTTCTTTTTGAGCTCAACATCTGAAATTATGCTCTAGAGAGAGAGAGGGGCCAAATTTAGTAAGAGAAGAGGCTCAAGGTAGAGATTTGCTTAGGAACTTGGTAATCTTGAAGCTACACTCAAGAATTAAGCATAAGCTTGGAAGATTAAAGCTCCTAGGTGAGTAATCAACCCTTAATTCATGAGTTTGAATTGTGAGTTCGTGAATTGAAGATTAAATGGTGGGTTAGATCACGAATTGAGTTGGTTTTGTTGAATTGAAAGTCATGGAACACATGCATGTAGGAAATTGCTAGGAATTTCCATGTTTGAGCATAAAGTGTGTAATCCATGTTGAATTGTGAATGAAGCCCATGTAATTGGCCATCTCTTTACCAATTAAGTTGAGAACAATGAGTATATTTCACATGCATGTACAATTTATAAGAATATGAGTTTGAATGTATGAGTTTGTTATGTTGGAAATGAGTTTGATGTGAATTGGGACATGCATGTGATTAAA